ACGCGCTTCAAAGAAAAGGCTGAGAACGGCTTCAAACAGTGTGCGCACTCCTACTGGCTGATACGCCCCGACAGTCCGTAATGATGAGGAGTGTATTTATCGAACACAAAATTATCTATCAAACAGTGTAGAACATATTGGGAACAATTGTCATTTTCCATATAAAAATTTGTGTGAAAAAAACGCCATTACTTATGGACCAACCCTGTGCGTTTTTTTTTTGAGAAGTGTCCATTTCCAGACAACTGTTATCCTGTCTTTTGCTCAAGCGGCAATATCTTATCTGAAGTGCAGCCGCTGTCACGTTCAAATGAAGTACGCAGCCACGCCCTTCCCATTTCTGCGACATGGGGTGCAGGTGGGCGGGACCTTGTCATGATCAATTGTTATAGGTTATTCGATACAAGACTTGCCTCTCGACGTGGTTAGAGCTCCTCATCAACGGGCTCTTCAGATTCTAGCGTATTCACCTTGCCCCCCCCCCCTCCCCACCCAGTGTGTCGTTTTGGCAGTTCAGTGCAAGGATTGAGGATATTTTGTCAGCTCTTGTCAGCCACTATAAAGCTACCAAAATATTCATGTTCCTTTTTATAACACACTGCTCCTTTTCATTAGACTGAGGTGACCTCCGTCATTACTCTGACTCACAGTTATTTCTTCGTACAGTCCCTATCTGATGGGAGCAAGAGGCGTAACTGTGAGATCGGCGACGGCTACAAGGAACAACACGGAAAGGGGACAGAGGACTTACGCATAAGAGAGCAGAGTCAACGCGAGATTACGCAGCACCTTTTCGACTTCTCGATGTGAAAAATACCTCCTGTCCTGAGGATTGTCCAAAAGCATGACAGTATCCAGCAGGGAACTGATAGGAATCATTCACTCCTGACAAAGCCAACGTGGCCACTGTACCTTGAAGCGGTCCCTTGGTGAGTGGCAGTTACAATCGGACGATGTTAGGCACGCAGCAGCGCAGGTAAATACTAAAACGCCTTCATGGAACTCCATTCCCGAGGCTGTTTACACGCGAAAACCCAAGCAGGTGCAACCCTGCGAGATATCCGTCAAGATCTGAGAAAAGTGCGTTGATTATGAGAGAGCGGGAGGAGACAGTAATACTGATGAGTCACGGTACGTGCTTCGAATGCCGCTGAATTTTTCATGGTAAACAAGTTCGGGGCGCTTTCTTGAGCTTTCTTGAGACTGATCATATTTGATCCTGCTATGATAAGGACCTGAGATAAACAAAAATTTATCTTTACAAACAATGCATGCGACATAAGTCAAACAATGAAATACCGGTAATGAATTAATATCTTCCAATCGAGATTGACATTTGGACAGGGAAATCGATATAAATCAATATGAACACAATGAAGTGGACGAATTTATTGTGGATTTTTTTGTGAAAGGCGGACAGGACAATCGTAACTTGGCGCATCAACGCGCGCGGCGCGTTGCGCGACGAAGTCTTGATATGCATCAGTTTGTCAATTGGAGCATTGAAACTCAAGTGAATTCAAGCGAAGGCAAGATTTCACTCGTGAAAATATAATTTTTTTCCCGTCTATTAACTCATAACTTAGCGTTCGTTCATGACAACTCGTCTCTTGCACGCGCGCGACGTCGCTTGCCACTTCCAGCGCGGTGTATCACGATTGTCTTGCCACATACCCGGTTTTCTATGTACATGGGCATTGTCCAACGAGCCACTGCACAAGTTTTTTTTCTAGCGATCGATATGGATTATTGAAAAATGCGCAGTGCACTAGTGTAATTCGTTCAAAAGCTCAGATTATATTTCATTCATGTGATAACTCGTCCAAAAAACGATCCCGTCCATAACTGACATTTCGTGTAAAATGTATGAAAAGCACGGATCATGAGCGAATCATTCAAGGTCACGATGTCACGATGTTCTGCTGTGTATGTAGCGGTAGAGGCGGTCACAGGTCATACCATAACTCGCACGATTCGTTTCCGCCACGCTCACAGACAACTCGTCCAGTCGGCGATTGGATTTTCAAAGAGCTGAATGGTCGAGCGGTTCAAGAGCATCTTCGTGCTTTGTCGGCAGTTCGAATCTGGTCGAGTATCCATCACGAACCTGAAAGAACATTAATAATTCAGGTTATTGAACGGAAAGCAAGTTTCGCGAACTCATTATTGCTACTTTACGTTGAAAACATATTCTATCGGGTGCTCTGACTGACAGGTAAATCAAGAGAACGCTGCGCCTATGCGTGCGTGACAAGGCTGCGAATTACGAGTGTCTTGACCGTATGCCGGCAGGCGCACTAAATATAACTTCGGGATGACTCTCTCAAAGGTTAACATCTTTCACTTCATCACTAAATGGCCTTCGTTTTCAAATCTGACCCAGTGGTCTGGATTTGTGGTGTTCGATTGAAGGATGCACCCGTTTCTCTCTCTGCTGGCCCAGTACTGTTTGTACCGAAAGTACATCGAGCCTATACAAATGTTCCATCTTTACCTAGCGTTTACGACCCCGTATGTCGATACTAGGGGTGGGTCTCTATCGGATTCCGTCGGCAGGGAAGATTTTGATGAACAGTACATTCGAAATCCCTGAGACGGGGTAGGCGTGGCTGCGTACTCCAACTAAATGTGGCGCTTACTGGCCATCTTGATGCTGAAAGATTTTCATTCTGACTCGATTGGGTTTGTTCTACGTCCAAAACAGAACAACATGACAGTTGCCTTGAAATGAAATATCCCTTGAGTAACGCATTCTGCGCATGTTCAAATGCCACACCTACCCCTGAGGGATAGGTAGGGTATTTAGGTTCGTCATGTACGACATTATGTCCTGCGGGTAGTTACTGAGAATTGTTACTATTGGAAATTCATGGTGAAAACTGAAGAAAACTTATTAACTCACTGCAACTTTAGCCGGTTTGCTGCTTGTGATGTAAGAGCTGCCTGAATCACCAGAAGTCACATAGCACGGTCGAAATGACAGGAACATATGATGCAAGGCATTGCGGAACGATTCGTTCACCAGTGCGTACGTAATCGGATTCACGCACGCTGATGAGATACCGACCAGGTGGCAGAACAGATACCTGTAAAGAGGAACCGCTCAGGCTGCGTTCATACTTTGCAGCTAAAGAGATTTAGTTGCACGAATGGAATATCGCGGACTGCGGTGATGCCCATTCCTAGTGGTTGGGTTCACTACAAATATTAACTCAGGTAATGAAAATTATCAAGGTCATTCACTGCATCAGGTTAGAACTTCCTTCAGCGACAAGCAATCCGGTTGGGGGGGGACGAGCGCTGCCGATACAAATACGCGCGTTGACATCGGTTCGAGTATCTAGTGGACTATGAACGCGAACCTCATTGCGATTCATTCGTGTTCATTCTCACTAGCATTCGTGCTTAAAGGCGACATTCCCGCAATACATAAGGTCTATAACCTCTCGAATGTGTCGGACGATCCGGAAGGCGATTTTTGAGGCTGCGCTACTTTCAAAATGTGAAAAACGGCAAGAACCCGCTAGAAGCTGACTAATTAGGCGACATGACTCCCTTAGGCCCATGCCGACCTTCACCGGCTGCTAGCTACTAGCTAGTAGCCACTATGCTATCTTTCTCTATAACATTATCGGACTGCTTTTTCTGCTGCTTTTGCTTCTCCGGCTAATGCATATATAGCACTCTTTTGTGGCTAATGAGTTCGTTTCTAGCAATTGCGGTCGCGGAACTGTACTTTAAGTTAGAATAAAGGAAGGAACGGAAAACTGTAAGTGCGAACAAAATCTGACTTATTTTGACTCTTCTAAAAACATCAGTTCAATGGCGGGGCGGGGTCACTTGCTTCTTGTGGTGATTTTTACAATGATGCTCCATTTCGAGGCAATAAAACGAGGATGTCAAAATGTCAAATTCAGAATGGGAGTGTCCACATTCCTAAAATAAGAAATTTTTTTGAATTGACATTCACACAAGAACTCTACTTACCTATATTGTGAGTAGGAGATGACTTCAAAACCGCTGAGGACATTGTGAATGTTCATTGGTGCCCAACAGATCGCATACGTCAGCACGAGTATCATCAGAAGCAGCAGAGCACGTCTGAAAGCTGTATTGTTGCCCCGATTCGACAATCGAATTAAGTTGGAGGAAGCGCAAATCCTTAGGGCCGAGGTAGAAAATCATTGTGCCTTCCTGACCATTAGGGCCGAGGTAGAAAATCATTATGTTTTGTCATTGGCCCACCACTCCTCTTTAAAGAAGGGGCGCACTACTGGAAGAAGCAGTGATCGACTGTCTCGGCCCTGGGAACTTGACGGGACCATCCTTTTAACCATGGGTCACTCTAGAAGTGTCGGACATCTCTGTTCCGTCTTCATTGTTCCTTATTTGCGTCAGCCTAGTGTGTAGTGTTGATCGTGATTTTTGTTCCACGGTATGCTAGATTTTTTTCGTTTTTTAGATATCATCGCAAAAAATGTCAAGAGGCATGGAATCAGCCAACCCTCAGCCTTCTTACCACCTGTGTTTGCTTCCTAACTCGATCACTAATCGATCACTATTGGTAGCAGCCGGAGGCGGGCCCACTCCACCATTCCAGACACCGCCCCGACCGATTGTTGGCGGTCAAGTGAAGGTCCCAGCAGGGAGGGTGCCCTATTGCTCATACTCGATTAGCTGGAACACTATCTCAACCAAGAAATTACTTCACTCCCCTCATGTCGGAGTTGAATTTGGTACTTGGCCTCAATTGCGATTTCGGACCGGCAACAGGGCACTGATAAGCGCTGAAAACCTTCCTTGTTAGCGTCCGTTCATTTTTAAACACCTGAGCCAGAAGCTCTAAGGACCTCCCAAAAATTACTGAACAGCCCCTTTGAATGAGAGAAGGCGTTCTCCTGCCCGATCGAGTAGGCGTTCACCAAACATGGCTGGTGATTGGCAGCTGTCCAATTTGTTGGCCATAGAGTTCTTGCCACATCTCTGGATGTCTAGATAAACTGAGTAATTACTATCGAGGAGTAATTTTCGTGAGATTTTCATCCGGTATTGGTTTCTGGAAAGGGCCTTGAAGTTCAGCTTCAGATGAATTACTGTAAGAGAGCTAAAGAGTTCTGTCTGAAACCACACGGGAAACCCAGTGACTGCTCTCAATGCCAAAATATTTTGATGAATTTGTGTGTTCAGAATTCTCCTTAAAATCGCCCATTTGTGCATAAAATTCTTGGCGTCTGAATCTAGACCTAAAAGGGGGGGGGGTGTCTTCACCAAGGCGCATACATCGGTTCTGCTCGATACCCTCTGCTATACACCCTTGGGAAGGGATGAAAAACAGACCATGCGTGGCCTCCGCCAAGCAGCGATACGATCCTTATTAGAGACAAACTGGTCACTGCCTTCTGTAGGGTGCCACTCTCTCTGCTCCGAGAACGGGACTGGATGAGAGTGATACTCACGTGTTTTTTCCCGACCGCTCGTGTAGCCGCACGGCGAGGCTTCCCCTCGCAATCAAAGTCCCTTATTTACCTTGATTGATATGATGTGCTGGAATTCGATATCAGCCTCAAGTGCCTTCATAGCAGTAGCACGATTCCTCGCGCGAATGTCCACTCTCTTGACACACACCACCGCTGCCACATTCCGGCTGCATTTTTCGCAGCAGGGAAGCGCTCAGCTCCTCCGCAAATGGTAGCCACTTCACCTCGACGTGGAATGAACGTCTTCTGAGGGAATCTGCAGTATTGTCTTGAACCAACAACTGTAGCTATAGTTGTTGATCTGACGTAAAGAGATTAACGGATCAAATTCAGAAGTGACCTAATTTGCCTATTTGCTTGCTGAAACTCAAAGGAAAGCTCCACGAAAGCCCGTTGGTAAGACCATGTAGTTCGCCAAAGTGACCCTTACTTTATGCGCGTCCCAATGACGTGAGGTGATCTCATGGCGTGCACAGATGTTGGTGGAAATTGCTGTGTAGATATGCGTCTGAGTGACAAGGGCCTTGACAATATGTCAGGCAACGATGTATTAAGCTTGTCAACATGACGGCTTTTAACAATGATCACACTACGTCTCAGTCGCGCCGCCCTCACGCCCCCTCCACCCTCCTTTCGTTGCGAAGAAACCGCGATACACACGGCTAAGCTGAGAGTATGGCGTTCAAATATTACGCTGGAGCACCAAACATGCTGTCTCGTTGGAGAGAACAGGGGAGAAAAACCGGTCTAGAAACGCTGCAAGAAAAATTCTACATTTTCGACATGTCTACAAGTTTCGCTGCTTGACGAGATTTTCCAAAGTTGCCAGGATATATGCCGGGCACGTCATAATTGTATTTCAAAACTGCAACTATGCAATGACTTCCGAGGGGGCAGCTGATGTAGAAATCAAGGCTCTTACCCTCTCAGACGAATCTGATACCAGTTGACCGTTCATAGAGGGTAGGAGACTTGGTTATCCTGGACAGGAGCCCATAGGATCTCTCCTATCAGTTCTGGTCCGTGTTTCACCTTTAATCCTAAGTTCGCGGGCGTGACAAGTGGACCACCATACGCTACACCACCTCCGCCTTGTTACCAGAGAGATACTGTACCAATAAGTGCAATATCTTGAGATGATGCGGATGGAAAATATACGCACCTGTTCCTACTCTGCATACTCATCCGTCGAGCATGGTTTATCGTTCGGCTCACTTTAGATCTTCGTCGAATTGTCGATCCAATTTGTACGTAAGCATAGGCCAAAGCGAACAGTGGCAGTAAATACTGAAGAGTTATTAGTTAATTCATGGGCATACCGAAAGAATTAAAAAATGTATTTTGAAATATCCATTGCTAACAGCCCTGCGCCAGGAGGACGAGTAAGCAGCGCACACAAATTCTCCGGAAAAAGTGAACGCACTATTGACAGTTCGTATCTGAGGAGAAGAAGAGGCGTGGCTGCGGATGCGGCCAGAGTCTAGACGGGAAAGCGAGAGAGACGTATGTGTGAAAAGAGTCGGCACAGGAGTACGCCGTCGCCGGGACGATTACTGATCTTTATCTCGCAAATTGAATGATTTGGAAGTAAACTTTACTGTTGTAGAATGAAATTCTTTTTGGGCTTCTTTGCTTAAAATTTGACTTGGGAGGGGCTGCTAAGCATTTCAACAGAGAAGGCCACTAATATTGATGAAGCGGCGATCAACAAATCATCAATCAGTCATAATCACCTGAATGGCTAGCACCGTAATTGTAAATGTAGTTTTTGAAATATAGGCACGTTCCCATGTATCTTGTATTTCCATGCAGATTTCTGGATATGATCGTCCACATATGCTGAGCTAAAGTGCAACAGATAGTTATCGATCGACTCAGAATTTATGAGACAATAGGTATCGGTTACCATTGCCGGTGTATGTACATCGTTCCATGGTTCGACTTTGTCGAATTTTTGTGATCTTACAGTAAGTGAATACGGTAAGGCGATAACGATCGATACAACCCAAACGACGCAGTAACAGATAATCGATGCTGTGGCTGCCAGCCGCCTGGAAATCAATGATAAGTTTTCTAACGTTTATGAAAATCATAAATAGGGCTCAAAAGCTAATCAGCGCCAGAATGGGGCGAGAAACATCGAATTGGCGACGACTTCCCTTTCCCTATCCACCAGGACTGGTAACCTGATCCAATAACTGACCATTTTACGGGATATTTAGTGAGTAATACACGATCCATTGCGATTAAAGCTAATGTAAGTGACGATACGAAAGTGTTGACCGCTTGAACGGATGCCAACTGAAAAAAATATATATCAACCGCTTTAGGTGATCACATGGGGAAACCACGCCCAAGCATAGACGAGTTACACTTGTGCGCTGTAATGATCGCTCACCACTTTGCATGCGATATCACCAAATGGCCAAAATGCATTAGCACTTGTGTATAAAGTTACTGGAGCTGTGACGATACATAGTAACAAGTCGGAGCAGGCCAGGTTGACGATAAAACTGCAAAAAAAAACTGTATTTCGATGCAGGACCTCTAGTGAGCGAAATAAAGATTCAATGACTGGAAAATTGTCCCAGTTTTTTCCTTGGTGCGCCCTCTACCACTTCCCCATGTTACCTGCCGATTTCAAAAATTTTGCTAATTTCTTACCGCTATTCAATATTTTTCAAGTTTCTCACCTTTTCTCCCAAATTGTGCCCTCGAAGGGAGGAGAAATACGACTCTGGGAAAAACTGGGAAAATCCTCCAGCATTATGGGTGCCACGCGCGTGAATCTAGGAAGCAATCAGCATTATGGGTGCCACGCGCGAATAGGAGCAATCAACTATCGAAAAACATTTTCTCGGGCGATTTACGACCCTCTCTCCGGCGACAAAATGCGACCCAGGCTGGACATTTGCCCGCTGCTTCTGCGCTCTCCCCCACGCGATAGTACTTGTGCGGTGGATTTTTTTCCTCCTAACTTACTTTTGGCCCTACATAGCCCAGACCAGCAATGAACGAATCGTGTCGTGGTTGTCGAACAGCTGTTCTTGCATGCTGTGACGCGAGATATCAACACAGCGCAAAGATCTCTGTGCGAGTCCCACTACGGGAAATAGCATTTGGACCTCGAAAACAGTTTCAGGTTGACGATATTACTGTTTTTAATACTGTCTGACCAATAATGTCTCTCGCCCCCGCTCACTCATCTAATAAGAAAATTTATTGGAAAACGCCGTGGAAGGTTGATAGATTGTGCAAGGGGGTCGGACGTAGACCCTCGTGTTGGGTATGATCGTACTGATACCGCCCTCTCGCAGATCCCAGTTATTATCCTGATCCCAAAGGAACAACAAGAGTTACTGCAGCTTTTATGAGGGTTTCAGATTTTGGACCATCAAAATGAGAAAATGCAACGAGTCCCGGCAGGATGCCAATTCCACATCGAGTAATGGCAGTAGAATGGGGCAAGGAAATGGAACTAGGTGAAAAAATCAATAAATAAAGATTTTATAGGGGATTATTACCTATTTCGTAGATTTCGAAGATTTGATGTACGTATGAAGGCGAAAAGTACTATGAGATTTGCCAAAGCGCCAAATGTGCAAACGATTCCATAGAGAAAAACGATCGACGATCCCTTCAGGTGTAACACCCAGAAGTAGTTGTTCTGAAATGAGACATTATTAAATACTGGTTAGAGTCAGAACACTTTCGAGATACCGCTTTACTTCTCTATTTACTTGTTTGTTTACTTATTTATGAAAGCGGAAAAACTCGCGAAAAATAGTCCGCTTTTTGTGGAATTCCGTAGTATTTATTGTATCCACTTGAGGTATAGCGGGGTGGACAAAAGTTCTGGCTAGTTTATTTTCCGGTTCCTCCTGAATAACGCGTCTCACGGTGGTGAAACCTGTAGAGCCTTGTCAAGTGCAAATGAGATTCGTGCTTTGCATAGTTTTACAGAAAGTTACAGGTTTCCACGGAAGCAACGGCAGTGATCGATGGGAAGCAGAAAAATGCCCCCACCGAGCCGAACTGCGCTGAGAATCCCTTATCCAATAACTGGGAGCAGTGTGGTCGGCGGCCGAGAGAAGCGGAACCTCATTTCGAAGCTCTTAATGATTTTTCGCGTAAATACGACTGGCTGTAATTCAAGACGGAGAAGCGATCAACGTTCATCCCTTGACGACAATTGGAGTTCACGGAGGTTTAATGAGTGTACCTGTTTTGATGAGTAATCGGAGTACTTAAAGGCAGTTGGCACGATAATTTGGTACTCTGTCTAAAAAGGTAGCAGGGGTGCTAAATAGTGGGAAAGTGGCGAAAAAGCAAAGCAAAGTCAAAAAAACTGAAGAGAAAAGCTTTCGTTCTTCAAGACTCAGGTTCGAACGAGCTTCGCCGGCAGGTGCCACAACCGCTATGGTTAGATACGGCTGCACGTATGTATCACATTTCATAAAGCACTGGCGTCGCCGGCCGCTTCATATCAATCCCTTCACTTCATATTTTACTTAGCAAATGAAGCGATAAGGGCATCAGGTACAGCATTTGTGGGCGTCCGGGTTGCAGCTTTAGGGCCTTGTAAGGGCACCTTCCTTGGAAAGGGCGCTACGCAATGCCTGCCCAGGAGATGCCAGAATTCCTTCCTGCTAGGCGTGTCAACCCTACCCGTCTTAGGGATTTATTGTGCCAACTGCCTTTAAGTCCTACAATTATGCGATGATCAGTCACTTCTAGATTTGACCCTAGTGACATCTAGCTTGATCAGCATATTCCAAAATTAACATCGGAGGTTTTGGTGATGCCGTGACCTACATACCGGGGCAAAGCATGAACATACAGGCATTATAGCCTGCAGACGCTGGTGCATTTGAGTGAGGATGGGTTTGGTGCAGCAGAAGCAGCAGCCCGTCTTCCACCAACTGTTATCCCATGTAAACTTCAACAAATCGCTGAGAGCGGGCTGGGAATGGGCGCGCTAAACCCAGCCCCCTGACACGCCCACGCTCGGCAGCGAGAACGAGGTATGTTAAGGGTTGCCGGTGTAGTCCAACAGATCCGAGCTACGGTATCGTGTGCACAGTAGCAGACTGTTTTCTAGCTAGTTGACTTGGCATTTTGCATTTATTAGCATCAAATCGTGTAAGCCATGGCAGCCTTCGCACTACACCGTTCAATCTACGGCCTTATCGCAAGAATTTAAGAACTTAAAAACTGTTTCCATCGGTTCAGTTCTGAGAATAACTGTTGTCGCCACTCAGATTGCTGAACTCAAGAGCGCAGCTCGCGAAGAAGTTTAGCTTGACAAC